CGCCCCAGCTCCGCGCCCCGCGTTCCCGCACGCCGGAGGGGCCGCGCGCCCTCGAGCACCTGCCTTTCCGCCTCCGAGCCTCGGTTTTCCCACCGTGCACGGTGGAACCCACCCCCTTAGCGTCTCCTGGGAAGTTAAAAATGCTGGAATCCCACGAAATTCCCCGTTGATGGGTGTGAATCCTGCGAAATGTGTGCCTCCCCTCCCCAATAAAGCCAGGTCACTCAATTCCAGGGGAGCCCGCGTTTGGCTGCGGACACAGGCCAGGGCCCGGCGGGGACCCTGGGGCCAGGGGAGGGTGGCTGCCTGCGGCGTCTGCCCCCTCCGCACGCACGCGGGACCCTCCGCACGGCCGGTCTTTCCTGGGCCCCGCATCCCCAGTGCGCGCGTGCGGGGTGCGGGAGCTTTTCGGGGTCAGAGGTGAAACCCGAGAAACAGAGCCTCGGGGGTTGACCCGGGGCTCCCTCCTGGGCGCTGGCAGGAGTCAGGGTAGGATCCCGGCAGTGCTGTGTCCGGGAAAGAATGTGTGAGGCTGTAGGTGCAAGGACGGGACACGAGACGAAAGGGGCGCTGCCGTGTGCCCTAAAAGGGAACTGGACGCCGAGTGATGGCGAGACGTTTTCTTCCAGGAGGACAAGCGGCGGGGAGGGTCCCGCTCGCCCGGGGGCTAAAAATGGCGAGTCGCGTTCCACCGCTCACATTCATTCAGTGTCAAAGGGAGACTTCAGTGCTGGTGCTTCAAGTATATTATGTCGTTTGATGCTCAGATGGGCCCCTAGGGTCGCTGCGGCTGTCCCCCTTTATGGGGAGCATCCGGGATTCGGCTCTCTCCAAAGGGCCTGGAGAGCAGTCAGAACTGCAGGAACCCCCTGCCCCCTCCATTATCTTGGCTGCTTCTCATCCCCTCGGTATGGATGGGCCCGAAGCTGGGGATCCTATGACGTCATGGAGGCTAGGCTCCCCGCAGGAGGCCCGACTTCCAGAAACCCCGGTTTAATGTATTTCGCCCAGGCACTGGTCTATTTTAGAAGTACCCCAGGGATTCCAGTGGCTCTCCGGGATGCCAACGTTGCGCCGCATGTTGTCGTATGGGTGCAATGATTAGAATTTCGGGCGTTTCCATTTTATCTGGAATCACTGTTAGGTTGAACCACCTGACGTTGCCATTTTTATGAAAGATCCAAAGTGGTACCAGCTCTTTCAGATGCTTCAACATGATAGTTATGGATACTGACACCTCACGTCTTAGCCTAGAGTAGGGGCACTTTCCCACCCTTTGTCCCCAGTACTCATACCAAAAGCCCTCAGCAAACACTTGCTGGCCAACTCTTCCCTCCTTCTGGAATGGTCTCTTCATCAGAGAAACTCCTTTGGAAGCCTTCCTGGCTCTCTCCGGCACAGCAAAGTACTTTCTTCGCAGTCCCCAATGTGGCATGAAAGCTCATACCACTCTGTAGCCTCATTTTCTGTTCACTTGTCTTCCTCCTGTCTTTGAGCTGAAGCTCCAGAGAGCAGCACTGGTACTGGGAAGATGGCCCCGCCCAATCCCTGTCAGACTTGGTGAAGCCCCGTCTTCCCATTCTCTGGTCCCCTGCTTGTCCCCAAATAGCAGAAACATCTTCAAGAAACTTTTTTTCAAGTATTAAGTACAAAGTATAGGTTCTCTTGTTAAAGGGTGTGGTGTATTTTTATATTCTAATGATTTTATAAGAGCAAAGCTGTATAATACAAAAAATTGATCAAGCTACATGAAAATGAAAAAAGTATGATAAAGTTATCTGGGTACAAATAAGTAGCATATTCTTGCACCTGTTTTGACTCTCAACTCTTCCCTCACTCGAAAAATCCTCATTGGCAGAATCAGCATCAGTTGCTTTCAAAAGAGCTTGCAAGGATTTATATTCGGGTTTGGATGGAAAGCATTTTGCTCATGGGTACAAGACCCTTTGCTTACTGCCACACATGCTTGTGCTGGTAAAGTATCCAGGGTAACATGATATGGCAGGGTTTACAAATCATTTTCAAGTCTGTTGTCTCATTGACGCCCCATGACATCTTGGAAGGCAGATTTTATCAACCCCATTTTGTTGATGAAGAAGCAGAGACCTAGAGACCCTCTAAATCTGGCCCTGAGTCACAGAGGAGGCTAGATTCTGGTAGGAGCTTGGGGGTCCTCACTCCAAACCTTATTGTTCAACCCCTGGAAGGGGCAAGAGTCTGTAATTGTTATTGTCAGAGTTGTGGACTTATACAGCTAATATGTTAATACTCTCTCTGCAAATGCCCAGGATGGAAGGAAAAGGCCTTCAAATGGGCAGTTTGCACTAAGGATAACAGGTAAGTTATCTGAGATACAACAGACTGTTTGCACCTTGTGCTCTCAATGAGTGTCATAAGTTGAACTGTGCCCCCCACGATTCATATCCTAAAGTCCTAACCACCATTACCCCAGAGCACGACCGCATCTGGAAACAGGGTTGTTGTACATGTCATTAGTTAACATGAGACTGCACTGGAGTAGTGTGAACCCCTCCTCTAATATGACTGTTGTCCTTATAAAAAGGAGAGACACAGACACAGACAGGCACATGGAGAAAATGCGGTGTGAAAATTGGAGTGAGCCATAAAGAAGGACAAATATATGGACTTTGTAGCAACTTGAATGAATTTGGAATCGATCATACTCAGTGATCCATCACAGAAACAAAGAACAAGAGTACCATATGTTCTCACTCATAAGCGGACCTTGAACAATTCTAATCCTATAAGAAAGTGTTTGGCAGTAATGAGAAATCATCAGGGAAGGGGGGTGGGATTGGCAGTTGAGGGAAACCGCCAGGGGAGGGAGGGGCATACCTCATCAGCAAGGGTACCTGCATAATCAATGTTTGTGTACCTAACCCTGAATTGTGCCCCACTTCTTTATAATACAATAATAATAATAATAAACAAAAGAAAATTGGAGTGAGGCTGCCACAAACCAAGGAACTACCAGAAGCTGGGAGAGAGGCTGGACAGATGCTTCCCTAGTGCCTTCAGGGAAACCAACCCTGCCAACACCTTGATCTCGGACTTCCAGCCTCCGCAACTGTGAGAAAATAAGTGTCTGTTGTTTGAGTCGCCCAGTCTGTGGTACTTCGTTATGGCAGCCAGAGCCAACTAATATACCCAACATATGGTCTATCCTGGATAACGTTCCATGTTGCGGAGGGTAAATTACACACAACAGCCAAAGGTCTGTGAGGATCACCATGAGAAACTCCGCTCTTTGGGGGAGCACTAATTGCATGTCAGTGACTCCATGTCCAGATGAGCTCACATATTCTGAGGTGATGGAGTCAGGACTGTAGCAAACGAGTGGAGAGGCACATTGTGCCTGTGTGTTTGGAAGAATGGGCCTCCTTATAACCACAGATGCTTGCCTCCCAGTAAAAACAAATCCGTGGGACAATCCGGGCCCGCTTGTTCCCATGGTGGGGGCTTGAAGTCCTCTCCCCCTTTAGTGAAAAAGACCCTTGCCTCAGTCACAACACAAGTGCAGCACTTCTTGCTGCAGTAACGCCGCTGGGTGTCCCTGTGGCTTTTCACCATTTACAAATCCCTCTTGTCTGTCTTTGTATTGGAGCCTCACAACTGCTGAGGACTCTGGCCTTTGGAGAAATTAAACAAATTGCCCAGATCATGAGGGGTGGTGGGGGGTGGGCCCAGCTTGGAGCCTCAGCCCATCCATCCTAACTCACAGCCAGCACATGGGGGACCACAAGTGTGTGTGGACCCCTGTTTTGGGTTGTTGGGCTAACATCTCAGTGCCAGCTCTCTCAGCTGTGTGACTTGGAGCAAGTGACTCAGTCTCTGTTTCATCTCCTCTCCTGTGGGTTGGGTAGATTTAACACCTAGCTCCCACAGTTATTGTAGGCAGAGAGCCCACGTCCACACAAGCCTACACTTCATGCACACAAAGTAAAGACAATTTTTTCTCTAATAATTCAGTGTTCTGTGGACACAGAAATGGGGTGAGTGTCATTCACACTCTTTGAGCTAAGTATATCGACTTAGGCATTCTAGATAGTGACTGTAATAGCCAGGAAAGTCAGCTAACTCAGCTTCTGTTATTGAGAGAGCTCACTGATTTCCACCAACCCTAGCCAGACATTTTGCTACCAGATAAGTGTATGTCGTACTTACTCTCACTCTGTATTTGGGGACAAAATTTCCCTTGTGTATCTGTAGGAAAGATTG